TCATTTGAGACCCCAAATTCTTCATCACTGTGTTCAACTGAATCCAACCAGTTGTGGCTTACCCGAACAACAGTTCTTCCTGACATTGATGTTTTCCAACTCTTCCTGCTAACCTCCTGCAACAGGATGGAGTATGTTTGTTATTCTGAGGTACAGGATACCTCAGTAGTATTTCTATGGCCTTGGATGAAGCAGGTCAATCTAGACACTAGTGGCTGGCTAGGAGAGAAAGCAGCCATAAGTCCAAGAAGGAGAGATCATGACACATATTGTTGGTAAGTTCCTTCAAAAGATATTACAGTTCTTTCAGTGAAGTTAAAGGAATGCCTGTCACATGCACAGTGGACCCAGAGGGTAAGACCCAAAGCAAAGGAATCAGATTTCACGAAAATAGATTTTGACTAAACATTAGGAAGAAACATGCTGCCAGTAAGCGGTGCTTAATTAATTAACTGCTACTCTGGCAGTGTACAGCAAATTAAATGTACATTATACAGCACACATAAATTGTCGATTTCCTGCTTCTTGAAGGGCATGGACTCAACAGCCTGCAGAGGTTCCTTCCAACTCTATAATAGTCTGGCCAAGTGGGTCAGATTAGTGACACAACAGATCGTAAGCAAGAAAGTAAGAAATGGAAAATCAGAGTTAGGAGGTAGGAATTCTAGGAAAACAGATGAAGAAACCCCATATAAACTAAAAAGGGGGGAAATAGTACAAACAAATCTCAGAAATCCTGTTCACTTAGGTTGAGTCCATGTGGATATCAGACACAATGAGGGCACCATGTTTGACCCCATCATCCCAGTATATAAAGCAACCCTCTGAAGATGTTGCTGTATCCATATAGGGTCTTCACATAACCTAGCACATACAGACAAAAATAGATTCTGGGTCACATGGATATCCTACACAAATAAAACAGCCTCCCCATCCTCAGAACATCAGTTTTCCATGTTTAAAACAAGGATGGAGGTGGCAGCAGTAGCTCTCAACACACTTTCAACACGGCTAAATAGGGTTAGAGAAGATGGAAAAGGAAAAGCTACCCATTTCTACTTCTTGGCCCTTCAAGGAGTTTCTTAACCAAACATCAGAAATTGCTCTGGCCACAGGAAGGAAACACATGGAGATCCAACAGAGCAACAAGAAGAACAACTTAAGATCCTGATCATTCTTAGACTTGGACACAGAATTCATTAATTAAATTTGTTGTTGTTTAGTCATTAAGTCATGTCCGACTCTTTGTGACCCCATGGACCACAGCACACCAGGCCTTCCTGTCTTCCACTGCCTCCCAGAGTTGGGTCAAATTCATGTTGGTAGCTTCAGTGACACTGTCCAGCCATCTCGTCCTCCGTCTTCCCCTTCTCCTCTTGCCCTCACACTTTCACAACATCAGGGTCTTTTCCAGGGAGTCTTCTCTTCTCATGAAATGGCCAAAGTACTGGAGCCTCAGCTTCATGACCTGTCCTTCCAGTGAGCACTCAGGGTTGATTTCCTTCAGAATGGATAGGTTTGTTCTCCTTGCAGTCCAGGGGACGCTCAAGAGTCTCTTCCAACACCACAATTCAAAAGCATCAATTGTTCAGTGGTCAGCCTTCTTTATGGTCCAGCTTTCACTTCCATACATCACTACTGGTAAACCATAGCTTTGACTATGCGGACCTTTGTCAGCAAGGTGAGAGCACTACTTTTTAAGATGCTGTCTAGGTTTGTCATCGCTTTCCTCCCAAGAAGCAGGTGTCTTTTAATTTTCCGGCTGCTGTCACCATCTGCAGTGATCATGGAGCCCAAGAAGGTAAAATCTGTCATTGCCTCCATATCTTCCCCTTCTATTTGCCAGGAGGTGATGGGACCAGTGGCCATGGTATTAGCTTTTTGATGTTGAGCTTCAGACCATTTTTTGTGCTCTCCACCTTCACCCTCATTAAGAGGTTCTTCAATTCCTCTTCACTTTCTGCCATCGGAGTGGTATCATCTGCATGTCTGAGGTTGTTGATATTTCTTCCAGCAATCTTAATTGTTGCTTGGGATTCATCCAGTCCAGCCTTTCGCATTATGTATTCTGCCTATAAGTTAAATAAGCAGGGGGACAATATATAGCCTTGTCGTACTCCTTTCCCAATTTTGAACCAATCAGTTGTTCCATATCCAGTTCTAACTGTTGCTTCCTGTCCCACATATAGATTTCTCAGGAGATAGATAAGGTGGTCAGGCACTCCCATTTCTTTAAGAACTTGCCATAGTTTGCTGTGGTCCACACAATCAAAGGCTTTTGCATAGTCAATGAAGCAGAAGTAGATGTTTTTCTGGAACTCCCTGGCTTTCTCCATAATCCCGCGCATGTTAGCAAATTAAGTTAAATTAAGTTAAATTAAATTAGGAAGCCTCTAATTAACCAAAGTACCCCATTAGATCCAAGCAGGACATCCATGTTAACAGCTTCAGAACAACACAGGATAATACATCAACTTCAAACCATGGTTGAATATCTCAGCATGTTCCAACATTGTTTCCTAGTTTGAATGAAACAGGAAACTATGGTTAAATGAAGGCTTCCTGAAAGAACTGAAACTTGCTGTTAAGAAAAAAAAAAGGCTCAGTTCATGGTTAAAGAGATTGCACATGGTTCTTCTTAATAATCCATGATATGATCATCTAAATGAGATCAAAATCAGACCAGGTAATATTCTCTGATCCCTATAAAATCTTCTGGGTCAGGTTCAATGATTGATCTAAGGAGCTCTTGTTAGTTCATTATTTTACCACGAAGAAAGTATAAACTTCCCTTGCTACAGAAAAGTTTCTTGAAATTTAACAGGGATACAAAAGGGATTAGATGTTAATTCTTCAGTGCAATGCCGAATTACTTCAATGAGACCAAGTCCTACCAAGAAATACAATTTACTAACAAGGAAATATGTACATTCCTACAAACAAAATCTGCTCTATTTTCTACAGTTATCAGAAGTGTATTCTGCTCATCCAACAGACACAGAGAATAAAATAGTATGTTAATCATTACCATTAGTTTCTAAACAATGCACAGTCATTACTGCATGTTTTTTTTGTAATGACTGGCTGAAATTACTTAGCTACATTAATTCAATAATGTTCCTAGCTAATAACTGCGATCAAGCTATTCATAACAACTGCCTCTTCTTCAGGAGTACCAATTATTTTAATTAAAAAAGGAAACATTTATTATATTGGGGGGAAAATGTGTTAATAATTGATAGAGCTGACTGAATCTACCTGAAGAGCAGGGCTTCCCTGTAAACAAAGCATGCTTTGTTTATACACCTTCTTTCAGCATGAACACTTCCCTGTGGTTTTCAAGATAGAAGCCATTACTTTGAGAGCAATATATAAAAATAAGCAGGCAAGAAAAACAAAGTACTCTGCTTTTTATTACTTCTACAATAAAGAATATGTGCAAGGGCTATTTATATCAATTTTATTCACAGATACCTATTTCTGTGACTATTTACGTATTATTTCTCCCCACCAAAGGAGAAAGGTGGTGGTGGTGGTGGAACCACATAAATAAATAAATATTCCAAAGCAAGAAGAAAAACCAATCAGGAGAAGGGAAATTTTAAAAAAGCAAAATAAGGTTTCAGCTAGCCTTTCACCACAATCTTCTTTATACACTTAGACAAGCCTTTCCAACCCAGTGATTTCTACATGTGTTGGCATACAACTCCCATCATCCACATGCAACAAAGCCCATGCAGCATGATGGGAACTGTAGTCTAGCCTATTTGGAAGGGACCAAGCAGGCAACAAATAGCCTGCCTTGAGCACAAACCATTATATATGTGTCATACTTGTTCTTTGGGGCAGAGCTCATTATAACTGTTTTCAAACTTTTCCCTCTCCTTTCATACCCATTATATATGTGTCATACTTGTTCTTTGAGGCAGAGCTCATTGTAACTTTCACCTTACCTTTGGTTTATGAAGTGTGTAGACATTGCTGTGCTGTGGCATCAGCAACATACATTTGTTTGTTTCCATGCTGCCTTTCTCCCAACTCCAGGGCAGGGTGTGTGGAACTTGTTGTCTCCAGATGTTGCTGGACTCCAGTTCCCATAAATCACTACCAGCAGAGGGCAGTGTTCAGAGATGATGGGAACTGTAATCCAGAAATACCTGAGAGGGCTACTCTTTTAGCCCATCTGTCGGATGCTCACAGAGGACCTCTTCCAGGACATACCGGCCCTCTACCCCATGGCTGGGGCTGAGGAAGAGCCCCTGACAGACTGGTGCCTGGGCCTTACAGCTCTGCGGATGGCCATGCGGGCTGCTTTGGGTGGTCTGCCTTACTCAGCCTCTGCCTTACTCAACATTCAAAATGAAGAGGCAGGTTCTGGTAACAATACAGAGTGTCAGCAATACAACAGGGGCACATTTCCTTCCATCTCAGTCATCAGGAGAACTCAGGCCACCATCGATCAACTGCCGATACAACAAATCTATGTCAATGAACACTGAATGCATTTTTAATACAGCAGGGCAAAAGAGCCAAGCAATCTATAGAGAAAGTGTGGAATTGCTTTTTTCTTTTCTTTTCTTTTTGGGGGGGCTAACACTCCCAGAATCCCCTGGCCAGCAAATCCTAGCTGGTAGCATTTGGGAATCATAGTCCAAAAGAGTAACTTTTCCATGCTCTGATGAAAAGACTTAGATGCACAGGCCAGGCTCCTACTGCTTATGTACACCAACATATGCCCTGGCGTGTAAATAAATAAATAAATAAAAAACAAACAAATTGTCCCTAGTTAAAGAGTTTTGTCATCCTCATCACACGCCAGGTAACCCAAATGGTGTGCAATGAGATATACAAGCGGAAATGAGTGTTAATTTTGGTGCTGTGATTTATACTGTTGCGCTTACACCACCATATCTCAGCAACAGGATTCTGGCCACATCCAAAACTAAATGAAGGTGACTGGAAATATAGCAGAAGGCAAACAAGCGCTAGGAGATACTTGCCTCCCACTCCTGCAGGAAATACTGGGCCTCTTCAGGACCAACCGTCTTGTGCCTCCGAAATTCATCTTTCACATACTGGTCTCCTAGGGCTTTCAACTCCAGGGGTAATGCTCGGTGCAACTGCAGGATCCTTCTGTACAGAATCCTCACCCGGGATATATGAGGGCGTACACTTCCTGACATCACCCTGGAGAAATGCCACTGCCAATGTTCACATCAGGGAAACAATCTCAAAGGCCAAGAAGCTGCAGCAGCTTAGTTGGATGATGTTGCAGTCAGTCCTCGGGATGAGTTTGCAGGTGGTAGGTACAGGTGAGTGCATGCAAATATGTAGAGCTTTTCAGGTGCACTCAGTCAGCCAATCCAATCTCTGCAAAAGATACTGTGGGAGATGGCAGAAGACAGGTTAGCAAAAAGCAGGCTTTGTAGAAGATTAGATGGGTTCAGATTTTTTTTATTTTCAATTTTTAAACTTTAAAAAATCATGCTTGGAAATGTCACTTTTTAAAATCACAACTCCTCGAAATCTCCTGGTCCCCACAGCTGGTGGACATGCTGGCTTGGGGTTCTGACCATTGCAGACGGAGCTCTTATAATGGCAACAAAAGGACTTCCACCTACATCTACATTTGGCTACAGTAACTGAGTAACCTTTCATGGGGGAGAGGAGACAGTTGGGTCTGCAAGTCCAGTTCTATTCTTGAAAATGGAGTCCAAGACTGAACATGTTCCTAGAGACATCCCACCTGTTCCTTAGTTCTCAGCCCATTCCTGTCCCCTTGAGATACTACTCTGCAGCTCATTCTTCTTGGGTGAACCTCAAGCCTCCCAACAAAATGAAGACAAGGAAGGTGATCCTGAAACCTTAATAAAAAGCCCTTCCAAGACAGCATCTGTCCTCCTTTTAGTGCAAAACACAGGGGGGGGGCAATCTTCAGCTATGGATGTTCCAGGCAGCCTCCTATCAGCCCTTGCCAGTGCAGCCAGTGGCAAAGGATCATAGGAACTGCAGTCCAACAATCTCTGGAAGGCCAAGAGTTGTTCACCTTGTTATGTCCACAAGAACAAAGCTGTGTGTTTTCCCATCATGGTTTGCCAAACACCAATCTAGGGGCTTCTAAGTACATACGTATTCAAGGCCATTGATTATAATTGCACGCTGTCCAGTCGATTCTGATTTAAGGCAACTCACCCCCCAAGTTTTCTAGGTATAAATCAGAGGTATGCAGATGTGAAGTATTGGGCGACAGCTCCCAGAATTCTCCAGGCATCTGTACTACCATGTTTCCCCAAAAATAAGACAGGGTCTTATATTAAATTTTGCTCCAAAAAACACATTAGGGCTTATTTTCAGGGCATGTTTTTTTCATGTACAACAATCCTGTTGTTGTTTAGTTGTTAAGTCATGTCCGACTCTTCATGACCCCATGGTCCAGAGCATGCCAGGCCCTCCTGTCTTCCACTACCTCCCAGAGTTGGCTCAAAGTCATGTTGGTAGCATCAATGACACTGTCCCGCCATCTCGTCCTCTGTCGTCCCTTCTCTTGCCTTCACACTTTCCCAAGATCAGGGTCCTTTCCAGGGAGTCTTCTCATCTCATGAGATGGCCAAAGTATTGGAGCCTCAGCTTCAGGATCTGTCCTTCCAGTGAGCAACAATCTACATGTATTCAAATACAGTCATATCATCTTCTTCTGGTTGCTGCACAATGGTGGAGGGCAGGGTTTCACTTAACTAGGACTTATTCTAGGGGTAGGGCGTATATTATGAGCATCCTGAAAAATCTTACTAGGGCTTAGTTTCAGGTTAGGTCTTATTTTCAGGGAAACAGGGTACCAAGGGAATTCTGGGGAGTTGTAGTTAAATTGTAGCTATTGGGCTGCAGAGCTAGAAGCTGGGAGTTTCATTCCCCACTATGCCTCCTGTGAGTAGAGCCAGCCTGGGCAGCCTTGGGCAAACTGCAGTCCCAAAACACCCCCAGAAAAAAAAGGAATCATAGAAAAGTGAAGTTGGAAGGGACCTACAAGGCCATCAAGTCCAACCCCGGGTTCAATGCAGGAATACAATCAAAAATATTTGCCAGGTGATTTTCTAGGTTTTTCTTGAATGCTTCCAGTGTTGGAGCACTCACCAACTCCTGAAGTAACTGATTCCAGTGTTGTACTGCTCTAACAGTTAGGATATTTCTCCTGATATTCAACCGATATCTGGCTTCCTTTAACTTGAGCCCATTGTTGCGTGTCCTGCATTCTGGGA